TTCACAAAGGTTGGGGTGGTGAGGAGGAGGAGGAAAGCTCCACTTGCTCATGAACAAGTCCCTGAGCTCAGAGGTGCTCCAAGAAGAGCTTGAGGGTGAGGTGAAGGCCTGAGGTGTATCTGATGGAGTAACAGTCCTCTGCGTTTGGGCAAGGCAGCTGCAGAAAAGCACAGGGGGAGAGGGGGGGTGAGGGCAGGTGGCCGGGGCAGAGGCCGGCGATGGCAGCCATGCCTGTGTGCAGCCCATCCATCAATCTGATCTGTGTGACTTCTGGTTTCAGTCCTGACGCCCACCTGCTCTCCACCGTGCCACCCCCAGGCCATCTGCCGCTCCGGCAACCTCTGCGAGTGCAACCTACACTACGAAGGAGATGGGAGAACGTGCTCAGGTGGGGGCAGCCACGGGGGGCTGGGGTTGGGGGTGGTGAGCGAAGGGGCAGGCAGACAACACAGCAAGAGAACGGGTGACCAGCTCCTGCTGCCATATTGGTGTGATGACTGGCAGGACAGACAGACCACCAGGACACCTAGCAAGGTGTTTTAGTTAACCGAACACTTTTATCCCTGCAGTGATCGACATGTGCAGCCAGGACAACGGGGGGTGCGCCAGGCATGCACAGTGCACGCAGGTGGGCGTGAACGTCTCCTGTGCCTGTGCTCCCGGGTACGGAGGCGACGGCTATGTCTGCAACCCCATAGACAGGTGTGCGGATGGTAGGAACGGGGACTGCAGCCAGCACGCCAGCTGCATCAGCACCGGGCCAGTGAGTACATCCCCTCAGTCCGGGGAGATCTGCATGCCTGGGAGAACAGCGCAGGTGGCTGCCATGGGATGCTTGAGGCTGCCGGAGGACAGTGATGTGACAGTGTCCCCCGTTACTGCCATCCCCAAGCCTTCCCCTCCTCTCTGGTCCCCTCAGCTGTTGCATTCATCCTGCAGGTCCTTACTGCCAGGCAGGGCCCATGTCCTCCATCTGCTGCCTGGCTGTGGTGATGGTCCTGGTGATGTTATGCTGAGGCCATTTTTCCCCATTCCTCTGCCTAAGGGGCACAGGCCTCAGGTGTGGACTGTTTTGGGTGCACAGGGATGGTCCTTCGAGGCTGGTGCCAGCATTTTTGCAGAGGAACCAGAGCTGCTCACTGCAGGCCAAAAGATGGGACTGGAAACATGATGTAGTGCAACAACCATGACCACGTACTTCAAAGCTCAGCTGTCTTTCAAACAGTGTGTGACAAGCATGCAACATGACATTTTTTGGTTTGTGTGCAGTTGGACATAGGGGTAGAATAGAGGCCATGTGGCCTTTTGTAGCTCTGTCATAGTCCCAGCAGGCTGTAGAGGCATTTTGAAGGCTCATCCCCATCTTCACAGGGATACAAGGATCCCCAGCTGGCATCTGTGTGTCTGCACTCACACAAATGCCATCCTTCCTCTGTGCTGCAGAACGAGCGGCGCTGCGAGTGCAAGCGGGGCTACGTTGGTGACGGGATCCAGTGCCTGGAAGAGGCCGTGCCCCCCACGGACCGGTGCCTGGAAGACAACGGGCAGTGCCATCGGGAGGCCATTTGCACCGACCTGCACTTCCATGGTGAGTGTGCGCAACCCCACAGTGCCAGGGTTGATGTTCCCTGCAGAGGTCACACTCCCTCACTTCACCCTCTGGCTCGGGAAGCTGGAGGGTGGGATGGCCAAGGGGCTGAGGACTCGCCTCTGTAGCTTGGTCTGATTTTCACATTCCCCTTTTCCCCTACATGTCATGTGGGGAGGATGAGCCATCCTTGTCTGCTCCTCTGTGACACGTGAGGTGGCCTCTGGTGGGATTACACTGCCAGTAAGCACTGGCTCCCCCGTGGAAGGCAAGAAGCTCTCAGAGGAAGCTGTTCTGCATCCCACCTCACCCTCACCTGAGCACTGTCCACATCCCACCCTCCCGTGCAGCACAGAGCACCCTCCGCTGGCAGTGCTGTCTGTGCTCACGACTGCCCCAGGGAGGCTGCTCGCTCTCTGTACTGTGCTGATTGATTCTCCTGGGTCTTGGTATTTTGCAGACAAGACTATGGGTGTGTTTCATCTGCAGTCACCCCGAAAAAAGTACGACTTTACTTATGAGCAGGCTCAGAAGGCCTGTGCTGCAGAAGGCGCTTCCCTGGCCACTTTTCAGCAGCTCTCAGCAGCACAGCAGGTGAGGACAGGGGTTCAGGGGTCGGGTAGGGGCTGGCTCCATCACCTCGTGGGGTGGGGACATGCCCTGCTTCTCCCTGGGATAGTCCAGCAGTAGCGAGCCCATGCCATGGGGCTGGGTGACCCCTCATCCCCTCGGCCAGGCCCCGTTTGCTCCATCTGTGTCTGTGAAACCCAGAGGGCTGGTGGGTCTTGCCAGTCACACTGGGATGAGACCTCTCACAGTGCCCAACCCTGTAGGTGATGCAGGCATGTCAGGTAAAGCTGCATGATGGGAGTGTACATCAGGGCAGAAAACCTGGGTCAGAGATACTGGGTTTAATCTAATAATTTATTTTCTTCTGCTAGATGGGATTCCATCTGTGCTTGGTGGGTTGGCTGGACAACGGCACAGCTGGCTACCCCACGGCCTACCCCAATCCCAGCTGTGGGGCTAACCGAGTGGGCATCGTGGACTATGGCTCCCGAAGCAACCTGAGCGAGACCTGGGATGCGTTCTGCTACCGGGAGAAGGGTGAGTGGCCCGAGCACATTTCCTGGGGACGGTTCTGTCAGGCACAAGAGGTGTATCAGGGCAGCAGGCAGAGAACCGCCCTCAGACTATGAGGCACAGGCTGGTGGGCATATTCTCCCCATGCCTGTGTCAGGAGGGAACATGCTGAGGGGTATCCAGAAATCAAGGGAGAAGTGGTGAGCGTAGCCAGCATTGGCAAATCAACCTGCATCATGGTCTTCTTTTGCAGATCTGACCTGCACCTGCCGTGATGGGTTCGTGGGAGATGGGTATTGGTGCAGTGGCAAACTCCCCGACGTGCTCGCAGACCACGCTCGCTTCTCCACCTTCTATTCCGTAAGCGATGCTCTCCTGGTGCTTCGGTACGCCAGCTGCCGGCAGCAAGGCGGAGGGAGGGATCGGCTGTAACAGGGAAAAGTGGTGGTGTGGTCTGCATGCAGGGTAAAGAGTACAAACACAGAAGTGTTTGCTTTCCAGGGCTGGGGAATGTTTCCTCGGTGGGGGAAGGTAATGGCTCTGTGCTGATGGGGAAGATCTCACATATTTTCCAGATGTTGCTCGATTTTGCCAATGACACAGAAGAAGGACTGGATTTTTTCATCTATTTGTCTGATGACTCTGCTCCCAAAACTCTCTTTGTCCCTCTGAATTCTGGCTTCGCAGACAATGAAGTAAGCAAGCAGGGATGAGCGGCCGCTCGAGGGCGCATGGAACAAACTATCAGAGCCCCAGAGAGCAGGAGCCTGCCAAAGCTGGCCTGATGGTGGCGTGAAATAGGGTCTGGGGAAGGAGGAGTTTAGGGTCAGAGAGGACCGCTTGGAGATCTCTAGTCCAAGGCCTCACTCAGAAGAGCCACTCCAAGCCTCCTCCAGTTGAGCTTTGACCGTTTCTAAGGATGGCAATCCCCCCTTCTCTGCACAGCAGTTTTGTGCCATGTTGCCCGTGAATTGAGCCGCCTGGCGGCCATGGAGAGTGTCTGGGCTTAGGCCAGGTGGGGCTGCACACAGCAGGAGGGAAGGGGTGAGCGCCAGCTGGGCCGTTTCTCATCACTGCACCCTGCTGCTTTTTCAGACGCTGACAGGAGAAGAACTGAAGCTCCATGTGTCGTCCAGCAACGTCGTTCTCTTCAGTTTCAACCTCACAACAGGCACCATCATCCCGTCCCAGTCAGGATATAACCTCCATGTATCAGACCTCTCGGTGGGCAACAGTACAGAGCACTCCGTAGGTTTAACTGCGGCAGAGGTCAAAAAAAACCCCCACAAGTTTTCACCACGTCTCTTTTGAGACAGGGAACAAGGGAGAGGCTTTATGGTCGAGTACCATCATCTCTGTCCTGTGCTGTAGGATGCCAAGGGGATCAATGACACCATGATTGTGGAGTGGGACATTGTAGCTTTCAACGGCATCATTCATGCGATTGCAGAGCCTCTGAGGATTCCGCTGCCCATCGTTCACCTCGGTCAGGTGAGTGTCTGACGGCCTGAACGGGGGAGGACAGTGCTGAAACTGCTGGTGCCAGGCCTGGGAACGGGGACGAGGTGCCCGAGTCATCCCAGGCACCGGCCTCGCCCTCCGCGCCCTCCCGGCACGGCCCATTTTGGCCGGAGCCGCAGCGGGGGCTGTGCGGGGGCTGCCCTGGCCCTGCCCGCGGGGCGGTAACCGGGCCGCTGTGTTCCGACGCAGGTGAACGGCGCGGCGCAGGCGTCGGGCTCCATGGCCGCAGGGACGCTGTCGGCGCTGTGCTTCGCGCTGGTGCTGGCCGCCGGTGCCGGCGGCGGCTATTACTGCGTGCGGCGGCGGCGGCGGGAGGAGCAGTTCGGGTATTTCCAGGTGAAAGTGCGGCCTGCGGTCGGGACCTGT